CCCCAAAACCCCAAAACCCCAAAACCCCTCAACTAAAATCTTCAATAATAATTAAATGTGAATTTTAAGGAAATTAAATTAGAGTTCTTAATTAAGTTCAGATTTTTGAGAATCATAATAAATACTGTTTAAGCCCTCATTTTTTTTCGAGGAGCTTTCTATGCTTGATAAAAGCTGGAACTGGCACTACTGTTGCTCCGTGCATAACATTTTGAGACTTTACTATCTTTTTCTGTGCTAGCGTACTCTTTAGATCTTTATCCTTAACCTTTGACTTACTATCTTCTTCCGAATCACTGCTATTTGAATCATTGGATTAATCTTATTTTTTCTAGGCGGATTTCGATTAGATAAGACTGGCATTCTTCTATTCTTCCTCACTCTCATCATTTTCACTATCCTCGCTTTCAATAAAATCTGTGCTAGAAACCTTGAATCTTTTTCTTTTAGCTTCTAACTCCTCAAGTTCTTGCTTATTTATAATCCTTTTATTTTCATTCACAGTTCTTTGAATTATTCTGTTGGCTGCCTCTTTGTTGATTTCGAGCCCAGATTGATTCCTCTATTAGTACTAATAATCTTCCTATTTGTTCTTTTCCTTGTCTTGTCTCTTTTTCCTGGGATTTTAAACACTATCTAGTTTGAGATAATGATCTCGTACTGCCTATATTTGCTGATGAACTGGATGAGACTTCGCATTAGACTTTGTGCTTTAAATTCTCAATAATGCTATATTATATATAATCAATGATCTATTGCTTACAATAGTAGAGAGAGTTCAATCCAAAAGCAAATGCTAGATTAATCTTAGTATTATCAACTCTAGAGTTGGCTGAGCCACTAGCAGCTAGTTCAAAGTTTGGATTCTTAGTCTGAAATTCACTAATTTTAGATGTCAACTCTAAAAGGCACTAGTCCATTTAACTCAAGGTTTTCTCTAATTTTGTCGAAGACATTTTTGAGGTTTATTTATTATTTTGCTAATTGATAAATGAATAATAAAAGAATTGAAGCAAATACTCAAATTTTAAGCTACGGGGTTTTGGGGTTTTGGGGTTTTGGGG